CTAGACCAGGGGTGGGCAAACTTGGCCCTTCCAGGCCACTTTCCTTCAGAGTTTAGCTCCAACTCTAATCAAACACACCTAAACCAGAAAATCATTGTCTTCAAGACTACTAGAAGGCTACAGGCAGGTGAGTCATATCAGGGTTGGATCAAATCTCTGCAGGAAAGTGGCCTGGAAGGGCCAAGTTTGCCCATCACTGGTCTAGACTCATCAGTTTGAACTTGCCTGTGCTTGTATCTTGCACAGCCACACTCTTGGTGGTGGGGTTACTGCTGAGCAAGCGGTAGAAATAAGACTCCACTTGTAGACGGGACAAGATGAAGGTGTATGAGTGCAGGGCCACTGTCTGATGGAGAATTTCTGCTTTCGCAGAAAACAGATGCTTCAGCTCAGTTAATGCAGCCTCGTTCATTGTCACCTGCTGGTAGCAGTGGTAGCCAAACACTTTGGTCTGGTCCGCACATACACCCTGTAAAGCAAACAGGTGTGTTTGTGATGAATAAAATAGACCAATGCAATGCATTTTTATGGTAAAGGCATGGTGTGACAGCTGGGTATACAGTACTATAAAACTTTATTAGACTAGAGATCACGCTACTAAAAGTCAGCAAAAACAAATAAACCAAAATAAGAGGGATCATACAAAATGCATCTTATTGTATTGTTTATTTAATACTGACCTGAATAAGATATTTAACATAAAAGATGTTTACATATAGTCCACAAGAGAAAATAATAGTTGAATTTATAAAAATGACACCGTTCCTCAGTGTGAATAGATGGATCTCAAAATCATAGTCATTGTTGGAAAGGGTTCAAATACACAAATACACTGGAAAACCAAAGAATTTGTGGGACCTGAAGGATTTTTCTGAAGAACAGCAGGCAGTTTAACTGTTCAGGACAAACAAGGGACTCATGAACAACTATCACTAAACAACAAAACCCCGCTGTGGATCATTCAGGTAACAACACAGTATTAAGAATAAAGGGGATGTAACCTTTTGAACAGGGTCATTTTTATAAATTCAACTATTATTTTCTCTTGTGAACTATATGTAAAAATCTTTTATGTGAAATATCTTATTCAGGTCAGTACTAAATAAACAATAACATGCATTTTGTATGATCCCTCTTATTTTGGTAAAATATTTAACATCTAGTAGATTCTGAAAGGGGGGTGTAAACTTTTGACCTCAACTGTATATTTAGAATGATAGACAGACAGACACAGTCACAGACAGTTACACAGACAGAACTATAGACTGAATGACAAACAGACGGGGATGTCTTGACATCTGAAAGTTTATAGATAGATAGGTAGGTAGGTAGATATAGATAAATAGATAGATAGATAGATAATTTTAATAGAAAAATAGATAGAAGAATAGAAATCAAACAATAGATAGAATGATACGAAGACAGACAGACAGATTGAAAGCAAGGGCAACAGATAAAACACAGATAAAAGCACAGATAAAAAAGCATAACTGACAAAGCCAAAAAAGAACAGAAAGACAGATAGACAGATACACAGGTATGACAAACCTGCAATGAAAGCCTTTCATCCTTGAAGCTCCACAGGCGATTCTGCACATTTTTGCAGTCTGAATTAGCAGCCTGCAGTTCGGTCTGGGCCTGTGCCAGCTGCTTACGGCACCTCCAGTAGCTCAGCAGCAGCTCATACAGCTCATGTCCTTCTTGGTGGGCCAGACTCTGGAACTCCGCTTCATGAATCTCCACATTTTCCAACCAGGAACCGGGCTCCCATGTACGTAGCTGCTCGCTAGTGAAGGGCTTCACAGACTGGCAGGTCCTGGGCAGCTCTGGGTAAAGCCTCTCCCTGGGTCTCTCCACGTCAGCGACCTCCACAGGGACCAAGCTGGGCGGGGAGGACTCCTGGTTAGCCAGAGCAAGAACAGCTGGAGCTACTTGTCCCTCAGAAGCCACTGTCATACAAGAAGCATCTAACAGTCCACAGGTGATAGAGTACGAGTCCTCTGAAAGCTGAGGCTCAGAGCAGGAAGCTGGGATAGATGGATATATAGAAGGGACACAAAATGGCTCAAGTTTAGCACTAAGAGGTTTGGGATCACTTTGACAGGACTGAACGGGTGCCAAAGCTTGGTCCACCCGAGGTGCAGTGTCTTGTGATGGCATTTTATGCTCTTCATTGCAAGATGGTTTCTTCACTATTTCAGTCGTATCTGACAAGAGAACTTGGTCTTGATCCTTTTCAGCCTTGTCATTATGGTCTAGTGAGGTCTGAGTGGCAGGTGGTTTCAGATCAGGAGCTGGAGGCACATGAGAAAGGCTAAGGGGAACATCAGTGAACTCAGAAGCTGGCGCTGGCTCATTAACTGCTGTTGAAGGTCCTGAAGGCTGTCTAACACTTTGTGCCTGTCTCTCCTTTTTGACCTGTTAATGAAGCACAACTTTATTCAGGATTATGAGAAATTTGCATCTTTGATGAAAACAAGATCTAAACTCTCAAATTTAAACTGTTGTAAAAGAAGTATATGGGTGCGTTTTACCTGTGGCTTCCCACTGGATTTGGACTTTGACTTTTTGGGTCTCACAGCCTCCATCTCCAAATAAGTATCCACATTATTGTTATAAAATTACTCCATTTCTCTAGATCCACACAGAACCCTGGAACACACACGTCTTGAAGCTTTAAAGGATAGATGCCATTAATGGGACAGTTTCTGCTGTGAAACACAAAATTAGATGCTTTGCAGAATAACAGTCTCAGTTACTTTTCACGTTCATATGGAAAGAAGTTGCAATGAAATTGAAAGGTAACTAAGACTTTCATTGCTCAACATTCAGCAACATCCCTTTTTGTGTTTAGCTTAATAATGTCATATGGGTTTGTAACAACTTTCTATGGCACTACAATCACCTAAGATAGACAGACAGACAGACAGACAGATAGATAGATAGACAGGTAGATAGACAGATAGATAGATAGGTGTCTTTGGTGTTACACTCGAGAAAGTCACATGGGTTTGTAACAACATGGGGATGAGTAAATTATCACATAAAACATAAACATTCATATGGCAATAGAAAACAAAACCAAAAAGGTACAACACACAGCGGAAATTCTTGAGGTAAGCATAGATATGTATACATATACATATCTATGGAGGTAAGTATATAGACAGATAGATAGATAGGTGTCTTTGGTGTTACACTCGAGAAAGTCACATGGGTTTGTAACAACATGGGGATGAGTAAATTATCACATAAAACATAAACATTCATATGGCAATAGAAAACAAAACCAAAAAGGTACAACACACAGCGGAAATTCTTGAGGTAAGCATAGATATGTATACATATACATATCTATGGAGGTAAGAGCTTCCACCATCCATATCAGCAGGTAAACAAATGAAGTCTACTGACAACCCCCTGCTAACATTGGTGATTCGCTCTCCAAAACACAACAAAATCATCCCGTGTGAAAGGAAGATTAGTATAACTCACCTAAATGATATTACGTGATATTAGTCTTTTAAACAGCAGCTGTCAGTCAGTCATAAAGCTTTAGCGGAGCTGTCATTTCTTGAGGGTTTGTTTTGTTCCTGGACGCTATCGCAATATAAGTCACGTGTCCCTCCACCCTTCAATGGCGTGCAGGAAGAGACAAAACGCGAAGACATATTGTGGCACTGTGCAAAACTACATACATTTTACAGTGCTACTCGTAGATTTGTGATTTTAACTAGTTTCATTAAGAAACGGCAGATTCTGAAAACTTCTTCAACATTTGAGGAAATATTTTTTGTGATTTAATAATAACATTTAATACAATGTTACATTAATAACAATACCATGCTAGCTTGCAAGGGTCAAATAAATTGTATATATTTGATTTAATTTATTCTTCTGGACTAAGCAAATATAACACCAAAAGTTGATATGATTTAGTTAATAGAAGTTATTGATAAATAAAACCTATTACATTATTTTTGACAGCATTCTCATTTTACAGCGTTTTTACACAAGTGCCTAAAACTTTTAACAGTACTGTAGCTTTACAGGTAGGTTTCTTGAAGCATCTTGGAGACGTTGCCACAGTTCTTCTGAATTTAGTCTGTCTCAGTTTGTTCTCTTTTCTTCATGTCATTCCAGACAGACTGGATGATGAAGAGATCAGATCTCTGTGAGGAGCACTGGCTGCTGTCAGACAAAAATCTCACTGGATTATTACAATTAATGGCAAAATGAACGTTTTGAAATGTAAACTGATATTTCCTACTGACACACTACAGTGCGCTCACTGTTGTACACGGAAGCAGTTCTGGGCGGATGACATATGAGGTCGACGTTGCGCATGCGCCGCTCAGAAGTGACAAACGCTGAAATGCAGCAGAGAGATCAAAACAAAACAACGGTCACTTATTAGAAGTACAAAACGAGGATTTGTAAAGAAGAATGTCTGAAGATTTTCGCCTTTGTTAACCCCCCGGAGCCGTGTGAGACTTTTTTTTTTTATGGATGGGTGCTTTTTATTTAACTTCTTTTGGACTGAAGCACTGCAACACCTGCTGACTGCAATGATAGAGCTTGGAATAGTCAGGACAATTTTTAATATAACTCCGACTGGATTCGTCTGAAAGAAGAAAGTCATATACACCTAGGATGCCTCGGTGGTGAGTAAAATACAGCCTAATTTTCATTTTTGGGTGAACTAACCCTTTAAAAACATTTTTAAGCTGGTGAAAATACTGTCTAATACTAATATGTTCTAATAATTTTGGCCACCACTGTATATTTGCATATATTCACACATATATGCATCTTATCTTTATGATGTCTAAAGATAAGATAAAACTATACTGGCTTAAAGCCATTTTGTTTTTGGTGAAAATACTAATGGCTTAAGACTTTTTGCACGGTAGTGTACATGCAATGCATAATTGACTACAATTCTCTATTATTTGAAATAAACCAGGTCAAACCATAAATGAAGCTAAAGACAAGGATTCTCGCAGGGATTAAGGATTTTTTATTATTAATTCCATAGATACAGAACTCTGAAAAATGTTAGAAGTCCTAAAGTCACATCATCAAAAGATTTCAGGGCCATCCTCAGCCCCAGAAGTAAGCGGTCTCCAAACTGCTCTTGATGTTGTTCTGATTTTCTCTCCTCTCCTTGGTCACCAGGTTGGCTTCACCTTTCTGTAGACGTCTTCTCTGAGCAGCCTTCTGCTGTTTTGTGAGCTGTCTCTTCACTTTCTGCCTGATGACCTCCTGCATTGGGGGACATCCAACACTTTATTTTAATGCAACAACATAAATCTCAAAACTTGCATCAGGAAAGCAAAATTACGTTTATTTTTTCCTATTTATATATGCGAACCAAAAGGATTAGTTTCATTATGCTTTTGTGACAGCAGGGTTAATTTTTTATTTTTTTTTTAGTTTTGCCATTTTAAAGGAGTCCTATTATGCTCTTTTACAATGTCTTGAATTTGTTTTGGGGGTGTACTAGAACATGCTCTCATGCTTGGTGGTTCGAAAAACGCATTCTTTTTCACATAATTTACATTATTACAATACCTTTTTCACCCAGCCTGGCACAAACGGCTCGATTAGTTACAGTATTTTAATGATATTCTAATGGGCTGCTTTGTGACATCACAAAACCCGGAACAGGACCCCTTTAATTTTGATAGGACAGTGTAGAGAGGACAGGAAACAAAGTGGGAGAGAGAGAGGGGGACGGGATCACTGCCCATGAGGTTATCGGCCCCCGACAGCAGAGGTAAACTTTTAAACCTATAATTAATATATTGAAGGGTTGTACTCACTGGTGGTATAGTAGAACAACTGCCAACACTTCCAATGCTCATCTCACTGGTTGTTCTCCTCCTGTGCTCATTCTCAAGACTCACTTGGTCTCTGTGGGATCACATGCATCACATCATTAAATGTAAGAAAAGGGTTTTTTTATATGACAATTAACATTCATCAAGATCACAGCAAACACAGGCTGTCATGCATCAAAAAGGACAAAATAATAATTTCAGTTCATAAATCCTGGACAATCTTTGTTTCCAGTGCAGCTCTCAAACCAAATATGCCAAAATATAACTGGTTGTGTCAGCATGAAGAATACTTAAATTAGGCTTTTCTGTTTATTCTGTCATCATTTACGCACCATCATATCATTACAAACACTTAACAAATTTTGTTCATCATCAGAACATAATATTAAAACATTTTTACACTAATTTTTTTTTAATATTCTCTCATGCTTTTTGCCCATCCACTAAGTCCACCCAACTTAAATTTTCAAGCTTCAAAAAGTGCATAAAGACAGTGGAAATGTAATACATATGAATCAAGCAGTTTAATCTTTTGAAGAATACGCAGTCATGTTTAAATGATGAACAGCTTTACTTTAGCCATTTATTCACATTTTAAACATTGATAAACACACAATGATCATAGCAAATCAAATATGGCAAACAGAAGCTCAACTGTACTTGCTTGACGTGCAAGAACAAATAGGCCTGCCGCAATAATCAATATATCGACTTATCACACAATACATGTACATGACTTCAATCATTTTTTGTGACGCAATATATTGCCCATTATATTTACATAAAACTTAATGTCACCATGTTTTTTGCGCCTGTGTCTTTTGCAGCTTCTCGTACTTAACGTGGTGTAGTCATGAGGTGTGCACCCTTAATTTATAGAGAAAAGAAGGTCAGGGAAAAATGTGTAGATGGAAAAATCTCCATACAAGTTCTTTGTGCATTTTTCTTTTGTCTACTTGTTACTTTGCACTTTGTTAGAAAATGTTTATTTACTAATTATAGTTTTTTTAAGGTATCTAATATTTTGATACTTAATTTCCATTATCTAAATATTCTTAAGAATTAAAAGTTTATCATCATTTGAAAGTGTGTAAGCCTTCTTGCATTATTATGCTGTTACATTATGATTATATATTAAGTGGCATAAAATAGTCTTAAAATGACAATAAAATTGCCTATTGCAACTATTTCTGGGGCAATATATCGCACAACAAAAAGTTATCGTGACAGGCCTAAGAACAAACCTCATTGGATTGAGTGAATGAGAACAATTTTCATTTTTGGGTGGACTATTCCTCATAGGATTTATGAACCGTAGCTTTATAGCATTATGAAAAGGTTGGGTACATGCAAGCAAGTTACGATATTAGACATGAGTCACATCATACCAAATGACATACAAAGGATTCCTTACCTGAAAGGCCTAAAGTCTTTGTTGGATGCAGACAGGTCAACCAAATCAGGACACTCATCCTCTACCTCATTCTCCTCTTCCCCCTCCAAGTCTTTGGAAATGTCAGAAACCGTTTCTTTCTGAACGTCCTCTGAGGGGATCTCCTCTTCACATTGAGCTCCCTCAAGTTCCTCTGTGGCGTTCTCTTCTGTTGGAGTATCCTTACTAATATTTAGCCCTTCGAGCTCAAGCATGGCTTGTTTATACTCCTCTACGCTGATAACGTCCTCTAAGGCGGCCTGATGTGTATCGTCAGCAGACTCTGAGATGTCATCATCTTCGTCTCCACTGAGTTCTTCACCCTCTGGACCTTCAGGGTGGAGCAAACGGTCATCCTGCTGCAGCTCCTTGGTGTAGCCACTAGCTGAGCTCTCCACATCAAGCGAGCAGGTTCTTCTGTATAGAGGAATATGTCACTTAGTTAAGTCTCTAAAGTCTAGACTATCTGAAGTCTGACTATAACAAAGCAAGCTATTAGAAAAATTACCTGATGTCTTTGAATGTTGGATAGAGTTCGCTTTCATAGTTGAATCTTTTTACGAAAAAATCTCGAACACACTTGACATCTCGATCAAAGTACCTTTTGCGGAACAATTAAAAACTTAATTTTAGTGCCAAGGCTTATTACTGAATAATTATCATTATCAGTTTGACATGAGGTTGGATAGTCACCATTCTGCATTTGTATGTGAAGTGGAGACCATCTGAGGGAAGTCAATCATTGTGACGTGGTCGTTGTCATCAAGCATGAGGTTAAATTCATTGAAGTCACCATGGATCAGCCCATGACTGGCAAGTTTGACTATTAGCTCCATGATTTCACTGTACAATCCAGCAGGGTCTTGAATTTCTCGAACCTGACACCTACATGAAAAATACAGCAATGTAACTACTCACCATGTTTAAAAAAAATTAACTAAACTTAAGTGGTATTTCTATGTCCTTTCTGTTAAAGAGTTGTACAAGAAGACAGATTAATACAGCACACCACTGCACAGTTTGGCAGCTGTCAATTACCTTTCTATACAAGTAAATATTTAATGCAAGAAAATAAAGCAGTGTGTGAAAGTCTGTTCATCTTAAGCAAAGTGCAGGTAAACTCACAGTGGGTAACCATTAATGAGCTCCATAACCACTGCATGTCTGTTGTAGTCTACTGGCTTTGGAACAGGAAACCCTCCATCATATAATGCCTGTAGAAAAACAAGCACTCTTACAATAAATCCATATAAACATTAACCTGTGCAAGAACTAGCTGTTTCTCTGATTAAATTTTACTTTATAATATATCATCAATATACAATCATTTGTTCAAAATGTTTTCAGAGAAGTTATGTATCTAGCACAATGTAGTAGATCTGTTGCAAGGGTCAACAGGGAATTATATAGTTGTTGGGCATGGCATACAAATAGACTCCAGTCAGAATGCTTAGAATCAAGATTTTGTGGTTATTAGTTATGGGGCAATTATACAATAGGGGACTTTAAATAGCAGTAGTTATTCATTTTTATTGCCATGTCAGCATCTAAGGCTATCTTCACAGAAAAAAACGAGTTATGGAACTTTAAATAAAAGCATCTGCTATAATCAGTGATTTTTAAACATGGGCCAGGGCCCACTAGGGCAGCCGTCAAACAATTAATAGTGATTAATAGCATCCAAAATAAAAGTTTTTGTTTACATAATATATGTATGTGTGTTGTGTATATTTATTATGTATATATAAATACACACACATGTATATATTTCAGAAAAAATTATGTTATGTTATGTTTACATATTAAATATATTTATTTATAATATAAACTACATGAATATAAATACAGACATGTAAATATTTTCAAAATATATACTGTATGTGTGTATTTATATATACATAAATATACACAGAACACACACATATATTATGCAAACAAAAACTTTTATTTTGTATGCGATTCATCATTTGACAGCACTACTATATATATGTCTATTAAAAATAAAGATTTACCACATCAAACTGACATTATATTTATGAGTTTATCTATTTGTATTACAGCAGACATACCAGATGTACATATAAGCTTAGATAAAAAGGGGGCAAAGGGAGGCCTCAGAGTCCAAAAGATTAATACCCAAGTGCTATATGAATAAATGTAATGGATTGTAACAAAAATGTATTTTTACATACATTTTTAGAAGCATGGATTCAACAATAAATTTAATTATCACACATGCATGTATATATTTCAGAAAAAATTATGTTGTTATGTTTACATATTAAATATATTTATTTATAATATAAACTACATGAATATAAATAGACATGTAAATATTTTCAAAATATATACTGTATGTGTGTATTTATATATACATAAATATACACAGAACACACACATATATTATGCAAACAAAAACTTTTATTTTGTATGCGATTCATCATTTGACAGCACTACTATATATATGTCTATTAAAAATAAAGATTTACCACATCAAACTGACATTATATTTATGAGTTTATCTATTTGTATTACAGCAGACATACCAGATGTACATATAAGCTTAGATAAAAAGGGGGCAAAGGGAGGCCTCAGAGTCCAAAAGATTAATACCCAAGTGCTATATGAATAAATGTAATGGATTGTAACAAAAATGTATTTTTACATACATTTTTAGAAGCATGGATTCAACAATAAATGTAATTATTTTAATACTTGAAAATCCGCACTTTGACACTGGCTTGTCCCAAAAACAACATAAATGTGTCTCTGTTCACAGAGTCCAGAAAATATCCTCTTGGAATATTTGGATATTACCTTCATGTATGCAAACTCTTTCATGGCAGAGAGCCTGGACAGGTAGAGCCATGACATCTTTTGTCTGTGCTTGTGGTAATCTCTCTTGTTCTTCAAGTTCCTGAAGGACGTCCGACCCAGTCTGTGAAGTTTCAGAGCAAACTGCTCCCCCTCAGCATTTGCAACAATGTAAATATCTGAAATATGAAAAAGGGTTTATAGTTCTTGAAACTTTTCCCTTATGATAAGTGAAAATATTTCAGAGGTCGAGGGGGAAAAGATTCATTAAAAATGTGTCAGACTTCTTAATGAGAACACATCAATTCTAATCAAAAATGACCCAGACCGGACTCTTTGCCGACTCCCATCTGGTTTCCAACTGACAAAACAACATCCCTGGAAGAAAATGTCTTCAGTGCCAGGTAATCATAGCCACCGTAATTCAGCCGATACCCCTGCACAGCTATAGAAAGAAAACGCGGTCAAAAGCTGCACTCATTCACAAAAACATTACAGAGTGAAAATGAAGACATTTTCAAAAAGCATTTACTTTTGTTGCGTTCATAGGCCAGTAACTTGTGTTTGACCAGCTCCCGCAAAACCTTGTTGCATCCTCCATGTTTGAGACTGGCAATAGACGCAATCAGACTTACTGGGACGATCTCGTGGTTCTTCATGCCCATTTCCACCTGTGTATCCCGGAGAGACGATTATAAAAACAAAACACGACTACTGACTCATAACTGGAACTTTTAAATTGGACTGATATCTAACGGATCAAGTTTCACAAACGGAACGTGAACTACATTATGCCATGATACGATGATACACACTCAACAGACAGTTTAATATGCATTCAGCTAAAGGTTGAATCTTTATTTTGATTCAGACACATAACGTTACGCCTGTAGCTCGCCATATAACTTTAGTTGTTAAAAATAAAGCTGGAAGAAGTTGATGTAAACAGATATGACCTCTTTAAAATGATACATACCGCTGTGAGGACTCTAAAATCTTCCCTGGACAGATACCTCAAGATAACGACGTTTAATTTGCCCATGGTGGCAAACCCGTTGCTTCCTAATTTTCAAAAGATTTCTAAATAGTTTTTGTAATGCGGGATTTGTTCAACCAACCATTCCACATGTTCAAACCGGAAGAGCGCAGTATTCTGACGTTACATCCCGGAAGTTGACGGTCAGTGCTTCTCCTGGCGGCCTGGAGTGGAAGTGTCTTCTGATGTTCTTACATCATAACCACAAAAATGAGCAAATCAACATTTAAAACTGAAGTAGTGTCTTCATTGTTGTCAAGTGAAGTAACAAAATGACAGTAAAAAAAAAAGTCAAGACGTGTAAAGTTTTAAAAACTTTTTTTAATGTTTTTCTTTTTTTTTTTTAATTCATTTATATTATCTACAAAGTAAAAGTTATTTTAACTTAACAGTTTTATAACGGTCAAGTCTAATGGGGTTTTGACATCAGATTACATTAATAAATAATTGATCTGCTTTTTTTTGCCGAACATCTTCAATAATGGAAGTTTCTTGTGTTTAGTTTGGTTAGAACCATTTCACTTTGTTGGTGTTGATTTACCCCAAGGTCTTGAGCACAGCTATAGCAGCAGCATTTAACAGTAATGTTAATACTGTCAATATACGGAAGAATTATCTTTAACTTAGGTGCAGACGAAATGTTCCAGTTACTTATGCACAGTTTTCTCACTCATCTGGGCCGTTTTGTTATTGTTAGGACCCACTGCAAGAGTTCTAGTGTCACTGAAACGTAAAAAATGATTCCTCGTTAAAACTCTCGTCTTTTCTTTTCTTTTTAAAAAGCCAGAGTTCACAACATCTTTGCCTGCACGTGTTTCTTAATCACTGGTGGTGGGTAGCAGTAGAGCAGCATGATTGAGGTTCTCGTGGCCATTAAGAGGAGTTTAGAGACGGGTAAAGTTTTGTTGGCCAGTAAGTGGTAGGTGGGGCCAGATGGCTCTGCGAAGATCAGGAGCCCCTCAAATCGACTGCTGTTCTCTGATCTTCATCCTCTACAGCTGCTGCTGATGGTGACCTTGTACTGAACAAAAACACAAAGATTTATATTATAACCTCCATAGCAAAATGAAGAGAGAAACTTGGTGGGAAAAAAACAAACATTTACAATTAACAACCCTAACCAGTATGGAACAAACATTACAGGCAAAACAGAACTGGCCAATCACTATATTTTCATACAAAAGAAGACAATAAAAAGTTGGTTTTGAGATTACATGGAAGTACACAAGTCTCTAAGAATCACTTGTTAAAACACATTAAACTCAAGTGGGAGTCGCCTTATTCCCAAACAGAGGAATATGTGAGATGCAGGCAACTACTACAAACTCAAACCCAGAAGAACTGTGGCAACGTCTCCAAGATGCTTTAAGAAACCTACCTGAAAAGCTATGCACAAGTGCACCTAGGGCAAAAGCTACTTTAAAAGCAAAGGATGGTCACACCAAATGCTGATTTAATGTAGTTAATAGAAGATAACTGAAAAAGAAAATCTATTTATGACATTATTTTTGATAGCATCCTCATTTTACAGCATTTTTACACAAGTGCCTAAAACTTTTAACAGTACTGTAGCTTTGCAGGTAGGTTTCTTGAAGCATTTTGGAGACGTTGCCACAGTTCTTCTGGATTTAGTCTGTCTCAGTTTGTTCTGTTTCTTCATGTCATTCCAGACAGACTGGATGATGAAGAGATCAGATCTCTGTGTGGAGCACTGGCTGCTGTCAGACAAAAATCTCATTGGATTATTACAATTAATGGCAAAATGAATGTTTGGAAATGTATAGATAGAAATAACTGACTTAAAGCCATTTTTAGCTGGTGAAAATACTAGTGTTCTAATAATTTTGGCCACTCTGTATATTTGCATACTATATTCACACATATATGTATCGTATCTTTATTTTTGTATTTTACTATCTGTGTGTTGCTGTTGTTCCCGTTCATCGGAAGCTCTTATGTCACAGAAATTCACACATATTCCTTGTGTGTGTAAGCATACTTGGTAATAAATCTCTTTCCGATTCTGATATGTGTTGAGTTGATCTGAGACAGGCCCTTACCAGGGGTGAGAGTGTAGGAGTAGTGTGTGGCTGAGGACACAGGGATGGGGTTGAGAGTACCCTGGGGCAGCGCAGGCTGGGGGCCAGCAGGAGCCTGTGTGGCCATCAACATCATAGTGGGGGGGTGGGAAGGAGTGCCATGATGTGGAGGCACCATCCCTGACTGCATGTGGGCCTTTAGAGACAAAGTGAATGAATATTTTTAAGTATTTCTTAGCATTTCTATAATCCTGGTGTCTAACTCGTTAACACTAACCTGCTGCACATGAGCCATATGGTTAGGGTTATACCCATGCTGCACCTGCTGGGGGTGGATGTAGACAGCCTGCTGAGCAGAGGGGAAACTGGCTTGAGGAGACTGAGGGTTGGGGCCGGGGGTCATGGAAGGCGGGGTGGGTGCCAGGGCTGAGTACATCTGCTGCTGTGGTGGGTTTCCCAGATGGATGGCCTGGGCTGCAGCGGCCGCCGCTTGGTGCTGAGGATGCTGAACAGGGCTGGGGGCCGGGTGGCTGCCTCCATGCTGAGTACCCTGCTGCGGCTGTCCTGTCGGGGTGGCAGAGGGCTGAGGGTGCTGCGGATGATGGTGAAGGGTAGAGCTTGGGTGGGGAAACTGCTGAGGAATGGGGGTAGGTGACACTGAAACACAGAAATAGACAAACACAAGCAATTATAATATATGGTATCACTGCATTTACTCAAAATAAATCCAATGAATATGAGTGTTACCAAATACAAATAAATACAAACTACATACTCCGGTCTATTTTTTAGAATGAGTTTTGTAACTGACATTTAAACTTTTAGATATTAAATCATAAAAAGAATATAAATATTATAACTATAATTAAAAATGTAATAAAAAGAAAACACAACAGAAACATCAACTGAAAATTAGGTGCTATTTTTGTTGAGTCATTAATGTGTGACTCATTACAAAGACCATCATTACTTGCTGTAGCATTGAGCTACTCAGAAGCTATAAAAAGTAATTGTAAAATTAGAACAGATGCGCTGTATGATAGTAAAGAGGTTAAATGGGCTGGCAAGGTTTAGGCTTTGTGCTGGCGGGAGTTCTTACCATACATAGTATGCGTCTGCTCACCATACTGAGTGGAGGAAGAAACCAGGCTGGGCTGAGCATGGCCAGGAGGGGTGATCATCCTCGCACTGCCCTGAATCACTGGACTGAACAAATGCTGGGCCTGAAACACAGGAACCCAAGATTATATTAATGACTTAAACAAGAGGAGTGAAAGACTTCATTTATAAATATTATCTGTCCAAAACACTTTTTCCTTATTTGCAGAAAATGGACTAAATACATTATATCCACATTATCATATTTTTAATGAATGGTATATGGTGAATGGCAGTTCCTTTAAAAGTTAAAAGGAATTGTTAATGTTATATGTTAAATGTTTATGTTCATGTTACATTGTATATAGCTGGTGTTTAAAAAAAAAAAAAGGCAAAACATTTGGAAATTTAAAGAATTGTTTCCAGGATTAATGGGATACATATTTAATAATAATTTAGTCATATTATTATTATATACATATTATACTGATACAATTCTAACGTTCTTGTATTATTGTAAAAAAAAATCCAAGCAAATATCCAAACAAGCCATAACAATGTTATTTGCAAAAGAATCAAAGATTCCTAATGGATCTTATAAAAAGTTCCATCAGTCATTTGTTGATATTGGTATCATTTCAGCATTTCAACACTGTTCTAAGAATAGGAATATAATGTTCACAAATAGAAGACTGTCAGGCACCACATTTATAAATGCTCAAGTTTTGTCCAAAACCGTTTACTGTCTGAGTAGGTACTGCTTGACTACAAACTTCATGACTGTGAAAAAAGTACACTGTACTTTTTTTTTTAATCCAGGCGTACTTCATCTGCCATGTTGGCTTTGTCATGTGATCTATGGCATCAGCTGTGTTGCTTCGCTGCCATTCACAACTCCCTTCCTGTGGACTCTTCCTCATGGTATAGTAAAAAAATATCCACTGAATGTGCTCTTCAGATTTTCAACAGAAGTATTAAGTCATTTGTGAGCTATTTGCCTACTGTTTTATACTATGAATTTAGACATACCATACTGCTTTTTTTTGTCCACTTTAAAGTAGGGAGGAAAGCAAATTTGGATGCCTGGAATTTTTCATTTAGTAATTCTTCATTAGAAATGAGACCTCTAAAGTCACTGTACCTGTGACTGGTAGTGGGACATCTGTTGTACCAGAGGTTGGCTAGCAAACTGCTGGGGGCTACAAGTGAAGTATTGGGTGGAGTAGGCTGGGCTCGGTGCCACAATGGGCGGCCCAGCAGCTGTAGCTGGATGCATCATTGTAGACGTGCCAGGTGGGTGATGCTGGTCTGGTCTTTGCTGTGGCATGTTTGGTACTGCAATCAGATACAGCAAAAGAAGAGAGAATGAAATGGGCATGATGTTGAAAAAAAATTCATTTTGCACAGATCTTATTTCTTAACTGCACAGCCCTGCAAATATTATACAAAATCAATACACAAAAACATATAGCATAACCCCCTCACACTGAAAAAGCTCATGACAAGAGAAAAAACTAAATAGCCTTAAGCAGCTCTATAAAAAAAACAAAAAAAACATGCACTCTGAGAGTGAAGCATTCTCACCTTTACCTGGTCTGTAGGGCTTGGTCTGGCTCATGGTCATGTGAGGAACCTGAACATGGTACATGGCTGGAGGCTAAAGGATGAGGAGCAGAACTTGAGATGCAGAACTACATCTATGTTCTGAGTTTTTCACAGTTTTGAACACTTGCTGAATGCATCTTAAAACTATTGTGTATTATATTCTGTTGATTACCACTGTAATAGACTTGTAGCACTTTCTCTTTTAGCCCACAGTGCTCATGGAAAAAAGCTATTTGTAAACATTTGCAATGCTTGTGGATTAATATGTTCAACCCCATGTTCTGTTTCTTAAAGACATGAATTTTAAGATGTGCCAACAAACTTCTGTCCTCTACTGCGAGAATACACACATTAATGCTTCTGACTGAAATAAAGCCACAGAACTTTCTGGCGTTTTCCTTTTCTGGTCAAGTGTTCA